CACGTTTCTCACGATGCGATCTCTGCCTTCTGGAACTGGAAACGAGTATGTCGCCCAGGACGAGTACAGCGCAGCTGACCTGCGAAGGCCTAGATGTCCCTTGGAGAGGCACTTGTAGGAACCTGCCTAGGAGCTCAAAGTTGACCAGGGGGTGAGGAGGAGGAGGACACAGACAGAAACGGGTTAAAACCTCGGGGGCCCGGTGTTAGTCACTCAGCCACAGGCACAAGCAATTAGCGTTCCACAGGCTTCTCTGCCTCCCACCCTCCACGGCACCTCTCCAGGAAACAACTTCACCTCTGCTGTTTTCACTTTTCCCAGCAGAGAGTTAGCACACTCGCAGGTCCTCTTCTCAGCGCTCATCGAGGAGGCCAATTTGGCCTCATTTTTCCGATTAGGTCTTTCCGATTTCCCCCTTTTGGTAGCGACAGCACTTTAACATCAGTCACTGCGGTTTATCCCTAGGCCAAGTACGTAAGTGTAGATAGAGACCATGCTCCCAGCTACAGTCCAAATGTATCTGTACCGGGTGTTTCGTAAGAGCGGTTGTCTGAGTATTTCTAGGTACCGTAAAGGAATGGCAACGGTACAGCTGTACGGACTTACCGGAAGGATGATTGTCAAAGTTAGCGGCAGAAGAGGCACTGCGAAGTGAGGTAGGGCCTGAGGGCTTACAGGGGTGGTAGAAAGCGATCCTGAAGACCCACTAGGTATCCTGGGCCAGGCCCCTGGCACTGCAGTGTTTAGGGATACGCCCCATGTCAGCACGATTGAACCACTCTCTCTGAAGAAGCCTGATTTTGTCCAATTCTACCAAACATAGCTTGGGGAACAGAGGACCTCGGAACCCTTGGAACTCTGTAAAAACGTTCCAAGACGGTCAGTCACTCGCACAGCCCCGACACTTGTTTACTGTCCCTGGCGCATTCTCGAAAGCCAGCTGCAGTAGCAGGATTCCTGCAGGGTGGCCTGTGGAACCTGCCCTCGGACAGCTTCCTGCAACCTGGCTGAACACTGGGCATAGGGCTCACCGGGGCCGGGCAGGACTTGTAGCAAGCACTGAGTGGAAGGACTTTCCCCAGGAACAGTTCCCCGGGCGCATTCACTGAAGAGCCACTTGCTGATAGGCCTGGCCTGGAGGCTACATCTGAGTACTGGCCGGTTCCCAGCAGCGTTTGTCCCGTCAGCTCTGGGGGTCCCACTGCCCGATCAGCTTGCTCAGCAGCTAACTCTTGAAAGTTAACATGAAAAGTGCCGAGCAAAGTTCCGTATTGTCCTGCAGAGAGGCAGAGCTTAGCGAAATGCTTCTTACCTAAATGAGGCTCACGCAGGCTCCTCGTACAGACCCCAGTAAGCCTATCGTGAAAGGCCTTGGCCGCATTGCTCAGGACTCCGGGTTTTAATTCTTTGAGAACGTCTGCAGTAAAGGCTGGTGCTCGTGAACATTTCGGAAGGATCGTTAGGGTCAGGATGATCAGCAATGGGAAATGCACACATTCGGAAGGGCTCTCCATTAAGTGCAGCCTAAGCCATCTTTGATAAGGGGACGCTACTTCTGCCTACGCTACAGATGGGGGATGAGGACATGGAAAAGAAGGGAACCCGGGCTCTTTGCCCTCACTGTCATCTTCTCTCAAGGCTTCACTGGGTGACTTCGCAGTTAAAGGCCGAAGAACTACGCGGACCAAGTTCCAACCAGAGAACGTTTTAGGAACAGCAAAGCCCCGCTTCAAGCATTCTCCAAACCCTCTCTTACTCGGTCCTAGCGCTCGACATCCAGTGCAACCGACTGAGCAAACCAAGAGTTACGTGTGACAACACCCTGCAGTACCCAAGAAAGTAACTGAGCGCTGACCAGCTGGTGCTACAGAATCTGCAGCACAGGCACGTAACGCTGTACTGCCCTCCACGCACTCTGCCCCATTACCTCGCTGACTTTTTTCCGCTCGCACTCACGTTCCTTTTCTCTGGTTTCCTTCCCCTTTAGGTGTTTCCTCTTTCCGGGCAGGCCCCTCTTCTCCACCGCAGATCCCCATCACTGATTCACTAGACTTTTCCCCCGGGATCACTTTCCCCATCCGGTTCCGGCTCAGGCGCCACCTGTGCAAACCAGACCTCAAGCTGAGCTCAAAGCTGACCCAAGGACGGGTCACAAGGGTGAAAAGTAAAGAGAAGCAGGTGAAAGTCTAGAGGCTGGGGCTCACGTCTCCCTTCGACATCGACCCCGAAAGAGTGGCGCACCTTGGCTTTATTCACTCAGACGTGGGCGCAAGCAAGTAGACTTCCACAGGATTCACCTGTCTCCCACCCTCCGCGCTACTGCTCTGGGTAAACAAGTTCACCTCAGATGTTTTCTCTATTCCCCGCACAGTGTTAGCACGCGTGCAGGCCCTCTCCTCAGTGCTCACAGAGGAGGCCACCTGGCCCTCATTTCTCCCAGCTGGTTTTCCACAGGCGCAATTCCAACAGGGGGAAGCGCTGCTCACTTATTCTGGGTCCTGCTTCTGCATGCTGCGCACCTGGCCAGAATATTCCCACCTTGATCTGCTCTCCCTTCCCACCGTCAGGAGTGTGTTATGCCCCCTACCCCTGACACTGGAACAAAGGTCTGTGGAGGTCCCAGCCCCTTAGCTCAGAATGTGCCCTCAGGGGACACGGTCTTTACAGAGGCAGTCAGGGCTAAGGCCATCAGGGTGGGCCCTAGTGCAGCCTGCCCTGTGCCCTTCCAGCATGGGGCAAGCCACACCCGGGGAGACCACAGGCTTAGTGTGCAGCGTTAGCTAAGGTGCAAGAGGCTCTGAAGGCCCCACAATCACCAGATGCTTGGAGAAGCCCAGGACGGAATCCCTGCTACTGGTTTCAGAGGGAGACAGGCCCACTGATGCCTTGATTAGGCTTCCAGCATCAGAGCTGTGAGACAAAAAATAAGTTGATCGAAGGCCCCAGTGCAGAAACGTGGGCCTGTAACCTTCAGAGGAAAACATCCACCTCAAATCTATCCACTTTTTTTTGTTTTTTTTTGGTGTCGGGGATCGAACATGGGACTTTGCACTTGCGGGGCAGGTGGCGGCACCAATGAGCTAAATCCCTGGCCCTAATGCTGGACCTGGGAGATCAAATGCTTGTGATCATCCTGTTCCTTTTATATTTATTTATGTATTCATTTATTTAGGTCCAGGAATCGATGTGGGGACATTCTGCTTGCGAGGCAGGCGGCAGAACCCGTGTGCTAAATCGCGGCCCCACGTCTGCCCACCTTTGATCAGCACCTTCGAGGTCCTGTCCCTCCACTCCTCATATCCTCAGGCCCACACGGGACAAGTCGTCGTGCCCTGGCACACCCGTGTCCATCCCCCTGCTTCCGGTGCAGGTGCAGCCCATCCTCAGTTCAGTGTAGTGGAAACGAGGTGTGTGTTTACCTGGTCCCTGTGGTGCACATGGTTGTGGAAGCCGGCAACACGGCCCTCCAAAGTGCTCTAGGAACGGGGAGGATGGAAATATTCCCTCATTTGCAAAATGTAAAATAAAATAATAAAATAAAGGTGTTTGAGCACGTGATTCAAACTAGGGCAGGTGTCAGGGAGGAATTCCGGGGTATACGGGGTGAGCCTCGGGCCATCTCAGGGTCCTCATGCCATGAGGCAGAGGGGGTGCAGCCTCAGCCAGAGTGTGACGGGAAGGAGGGGCAGGGAGAGTCTCCAAGATGGAGTTAAGACTGAAGGGAAGGGGTGTGGGCGGCTCTGGGGTTCCAGAGGTAACAGAGGTCGTTCCCCTCGTCCCTGTGGTGGGAGCTGCTCACACCTGGACTTACGGCTGGAGATGCTGAGCTTGGAATTGACCCCTCCAGAAGTGGGAGCGATCCCACGGTGGCTTGTCCCTGGGGGAAGCTTTTGTTTTGACACAGGATCTCCCTAAATTGATACGTTGTGCAGATCGGGCTCAAACTTAAAATGTCCCTGCCTCAGCCTCCCAGAGTGCCGGAATCTCAGGCCTGTACAGCCATGCCAGGTGCAGACATCCTGTCCACAGCGGTTTCACATGATGCGACCTCCCTCCAGCTGTCTTGCTGCCCTGCGTTCATTCTTCTTCCCTAGACAGCACGCAGAGGGTCCGGCTGTCCCCACCACCTTGGCCTGGTAACGGTCTCCCCTGCACTCCTTTACAGATCTGTTTGGTGTTCCCCGTGCTCTCTCCTGACGACTTGAATGGCATCCGCCACTAAGTCGGAGCTGGTGAACCCTCGTGGAATGAATGAGGGCCTTAGGCACAAGTCTGTCTGGGACACCGAGGTCCTTGTCCTCACTTCTGTCCCTCTGCAGAGCCTCCTACTCCTGGGTCCCTCTCAGCCTGAACAGCAAAGGAGCAAGGGGTGAGGGAAGGGCAGTGACCCTCTCCGTCTTGGGGCTTCTACTCTGACCGTTCCCACATCGTGGCCCCCTTTCCAGGACCCCTCCCTGCCCCACACCGGAGCTTCAGGGCCCAGGCAGCTACCTGCTTTGGGAGTTCTGCACAGGGACAGTCCCTTGCTCCTCTCTGACTTCTAGGCCTCCTGCCCCCCAGCACACTAGGTCCCACCCGGGACAGAGCAGATACCCACGCTCCCAGCATTCCTTTGAGAACTCTCCTGCAGTCCCGCAGCCCCGAGTCCGCGCTCTTTCCCTTTCCTTTGCCTGCTCTCCCGACTGGAGCCCCGCCCCCTCTGGGTTTCCCAGGCTGGGGCTCCCCTAGTGGCGACGTAAGGCTCATTCCCAGTCTGCACTTTTCACACATCACCTGGGACTGTCCCTCAGTCCAGGATAAAAGCTCCACCGCGGGACTGAGGCAGCAGGGGCATCGTGGACACAGCTGCACGCCGAGGGACACCTTGTCACAGAGCAGCAGGCCGAGCCCCACACGGGACTCTGCGGCCCAAGGCTCCAAGGCCAACTGAGGCAGAGCACAGAGCTGACAGCCTCAAGTGCACATTTGGTCTCCAGCAGTGACAGAGAAGCGAGGCCAGGATGAGGCCAGGTGAGAAGCACAGCCTGGTCCCTGAGGTCCCCTCCCCTCGGCCCTGCAGCCCTGGGCTCCCGACCTCACCTTCTCGCTGTCCCTCTGTGACACAGACCCCGCTGGAGGTTGTAAGCTGGTGCTGCTGCTGCTGCTGCTGGGCATGGTGCTGACCAGGACAGGGGCAGTTCCTGTCCCCAGGCCTCTCAGTGTCTCCTCAGATGCCAGGCACTGCCACGTGGCCCAGTTCAAGTCTCTGTCCCCAGTAGAGATGCAGGCCTTCAAGACAGCCAAGGATGCCTTTGTGAGTCTCCCCTGCTCCCCTCTGTGGGCTGCACTCCAGCTCTCCCTGTGTCACCACCCCAAGTGGGCGGGGAGCAGACCTCAGCCTCCCTGCCCTGGGCTAGAATCCACCTCCTGAAGCGGGCTTCCCTCCCTCTGTGCATCCTTGCTCACTTGTGACTTTTGTTTCCGGCCCCGCTGAAGATGTGTGAGGGAATCAAAGGAAAGTCTCCTCTGCAGCCCGCTTTCACATTCCTTCCACCTCAACTGAACTCCCACAGGATCACAGAGATTCTGTCTTGGGGTGACTCAGACCTCATCCTCTAGTGATCTGAACCTCTTGTCAGCTTCACCCCGAGACCCAGTCACTGGCTGCTCCCATCCTAGATATATTTTCACTACCCTAGGCAGCACACTGACTGAAGATGTCCCTGTCCATCCCTCTCCTGCTGGCCAAATTCTCCCTCCC